TTAAATAAGTAGAAAACATTAAGGGCCAAATTGTATGAAAAAAATTAAAGACCAAATGTAATGAAAAAAATAAAGACCAAATTGTGACAAGTGACAAACTCCGGCGACAAGTTTGGCAATTTTCCCTATTAAGTTTATCAAACCAAATTACTTGCCATAAAAATACAAATTTTCATGCATATACATATTTTACTAGAATTCAACTCTACCAGTAGCCAACAAAATCTAACTGAGCAATCAGTATTGTTTCATTTCCCATTACTAGTCATATATATATTTTATGAGAGTCAACCCAACCAAATTATTCTTTCCCTAAGCTCTATCGATCAATTAGAAAGGCAACAACAGTATTGATTTTCATTTTCCATTATCAACCACCAAATAGAATTCATTGTCATTGGTATATGAGACCCTAAATATTAAAAAGGAGAGAAATTTCAAATGGATAGTGTCACAATCATGACGCAGGAGCAAAGCTCCACAAAAATGAGAATTTGCAAGGAACACAAAAAGGAGTCGTCGCTAATCCATTTAGGATGGGATTAGACACCCAAAACATGCATTGGTCTAATAAAGAGAAACTAAATCTAAAAAATGAAACCAAATGGAATAATACAAAAAATACCTAACAATAAATGATTTGCTAAGACCAAAGCAACCAAGACAACTGAAAATCTGGACAGCAAGCAGACCCTCTAGTTTCAGACATCTAAACTGAACAAATTAGTGCTGAAATCATGAGCTCCTAAATGCTCCAAAAATTAACCATCCTAGGCTATACAGTAAAAAACATTAATATCTCAAAGCAAGGAATTCAGATGATAAAGCATTACCAGGTAGCCCTTCAAATATCAAAACAACGGTCACTTCCAGACTTTTGAATCCTAAAACAAGCAACAATCAGTAAAGCATGTCAAAAGCTTTTGAAAAGTGTCATACACAAGCATTCAACCATATTATTTGATTTCCAATGAGTAATCTATGCTTAGATGTGAAGAACATACGGTATTGTAAAGCTTCCAAGTTTCAACCATTTGATCATCAAGTAATTAAGAACATATGCATAGTTCTAGATTGCATGATCAGCTTCATTAAAGCAAAACAAATCTGCCCAGCAATCCAAATAATCATTTTCACCTCTTTTTGAACCTTCAAAAGGCATCAACTAGAATGACACTAAGAATAATGCCATTTCACTAAGATCAAGTGACTGTTTTGTCAACGTACTAAAAGAAAAATGCCCCAAACAGCCCCTAAACAGATCACTTTCTATGAGAATCAAAGCCACAAGAATGACGATACATCTGTATCTTTCAGCAAAACAGCCCGTGAAATGTCATTTCTCTGAGGATGCATGTGGTGTCAGTCATGGCAGAAGACAAGGCAGATCCTCACTTAAACAGTAGTTTCCAATTTATATCACAAGGATACACGGACAGGTTTGCCATTCTTGAAACACTAAAACGAGAGTTCAAAACAAGACTAGGGCATTTTAAAACAAACTGCAGTTAGGCTTGAAAACAAATTGGATGGGGATTTAAAAACAGGTTTCACAAAAGTTCATCGAAAGGAACTATTGCCGTGTTAGAAAGTAAAATGAGGAATCAAAACCATTTTAACACCTTTAGTTGTTTTGGGAAGTCTTTTGGAGCGCGACAAATTTAAAGTATAAGACAGAGAAGCTAAAACAACATTAAGACTTCAAAACAAATTTGGAAGCGATGTATCCAAGTAAAATAAAAGAATCCGGAACCTCTATGTCAAGTTTGACAATAATGTCCATAAAACAAACACTCACGAACTAGGAGGTTTAACACGCCCTTTATCATCCAAATAAAGATTTTCCCAAAGAAATATCTCATATCACCATGCATATATATATGAATCTCCACCAATTCAACCTCAACGAATTCTCAAATTCATTTCAAACTTGTTCACCTCTCCAAAGAGGTCACATCAGCACAAAGTACCCAATCCATTTGTTCATGCATTCAGACACATCAACAGAAAATATTCAATCCATTTGAGCACGCCTCATTAGATCAACACGGTAAGAGAAATATCAAGAGACCTCTGCGTTTCATCTTCATGGCAATAAGACAATTAATTTAACAACAAAAGTAACAATTCAGGCTTTTTAACTTTACCGAAGTGACCCGAACCGGAACTCCACTGGCAACTCAAAGGCTTCTCCTCCAGTTGCGTCCTTTTCGCCTCCCTTCCCTTTCTCGATTTCGAACTTTCTGCTTTTCTTCTTATTTTGTTTCCAGGAGTACTATCTCAATTCCTCGAACCACTTCTCCTCTGTTTCTCAGTGAACGTATTTCTTTTCTTCTCCTTGTTCAACCTGCTCTATTTTGTTCCCTTGTACAATCCCAGGAAACACTGAGAAAAGAGCTTCCTCTTCTCCCAAAAGTCTCTTCCCGAACCCCTCTCCTCTCCCCACCTTATCTTATCTCGAATCCAGATTTGAGAGTCGCAGAATTTCTGCCACTCCCTGAGCTCAGCTCTCGGGTCCCCTCAATTTTTTCTCTCTCTCTCTCGAAGCCCCAATCTCTTTTCTCTCTTCCGATTTCCTCCCTCTTCCTCTTCTCTTCAGCGCTCCTTCCCGTCTTCTAAGTTCGGCTCCCGGGTCACCCCCAAACGATGCCGTTTAGGGGAAAGGGGAGAGCTTGGGCCGTACGATTCATGCTTCCTCTGATTTGGGCTGAACCCTATGCTGGGTTTGGAATTGGGCCGATCCTGCTGGAACGATGATAATAATAATAATAATAATAATACTATATGTGGAAAACTGTATATGCAAAAATGGTATTAACTTGAATTTTTTGTCTACTTTTTAGACTACATTACTGCTGTAACACAGCATGGAAAAAAATTAAGTAATTATTAGTCTTAAATTTAGTTATGAATAAATTAAAATCCAAAAAAAAAATTTCATAAAATTAAAATTTACCCCTAAATATGCAAAAAAATAAACTTAGGGACTAAAATGAACAAAATTAATTTTATTTGGGGCTTTTTGTAAATTTATAAATTGATTTAGGGGCCAAAATGCAAATAAAATACAAAACCTGGGCCATTCAGTAATTTCTGAAACACTCGCCACCTCAACAGGTGACGTGGCAGAAGACCAATGTGGGAATGCCGCGTGGTCTATAATATATCTTTTAGACTATACGACTACTATTAGAATAAATTCTTCAATAAATTTCTTAAGCCTCTTATAATTTAATCTATAATATTTTTTCATAATAATTTACTCTTAATATTTTATATTTATTTTAAATACCAAATTTTTTAAATTTTCATAACAGAAAAAGTTATTATTAATTTATTAATATATTAATTTAATTAATTATCAAAATCATTTTTTTAAATGTCTAAATAAAATATAACCATTTTAATCTTTTTTATTATAAATATAAAAATTAAATATTTTGAAATAAATAGAAAAAATCAATAACAAAATTAAAACAAAAAAAATATTAATAATAGAAAGTGATAAATTTTAAAGAAATTAAATTAATAATTATTATCCTATAAGAAATACACATTAAAAAAATAATATTATCTATCTATTTTTAATCTAATTATAAATTTTATTTTTTTATTTAATTTAATAATAAATTTTATCAACACAGACATCCAGGTGGTAAAATATCCAAAGCTTCTTCTTCCCCTTTCCTGGCCTGGACATCAAAATCCATTGTTCACAGACCTTAAAATCTACTGGAGGAGAAATGCTTCCAAACAAAACTTTACATTATCCTCTAAACCTAAAACAATCTATCTGTTATCTCAGAATCCAGAAAAAGAAGATGCAAATCATATAAAACAAAACAAATTCTTCAGCTAAAAAACTGGAAGATTCAAAATTCAGATATCAACTAACAAAAAGATCCATATCACCATCCTAACAATTATAAAATACCAAGCCATTTAATCCTCGGTGTAGTTTCTCAATACAAAAACAGAACAGAACGGAACAAAAATAACAATTTAGTTCTCGTTTCTTTGTAACCGACTGAGCAAGCTTCCACGGGTAGATTCACAGGTCTTGCACGCTCAAACCTGCAACAACAGTAAGTCTCAATGGTTCAGTTACCACGACCAAGATAATGGGAACAAAATCTAGAAAGCCTAGAACATTCGTAACTTGCTACAGGATCGTAAAATATGTAATAACATTTCCCTAATTCCTGTGTTGTTGTTCAAGCTGGGCGGAAGAAAAAAGGTTCTAACTAAGTGGGAGGCCTGAGACCCTGGTGCGAGACCAAGAGATAAAGGTGATTACTACATGGAAATGTACTGGGATTGTTCTGGCAAAATCACTGGTACAGTGTTTACATGTTCTAACAACAACTGCAGACCCCATTCGGACTGAAAGAATAACCCGATGCAGAAAAAATAAGTAGTGTGTCAAGAACAGATCAATAAACCTGGAGGAAGAGATTGCTTCAACTTGTCGGCCTTCTCTGAGTCAAAAACACACAATGTGTAGAGGTACTTGGAGCAGCGAACCTTGAACTTGACAACATCTTTGCTCCTCTTGATTTTCACAGAACGTGCATCTTTCCTTCTGGCAGTGAGAAGGAAATCCTTTATCTCATGGATTTGCTTAGGCTGTATATCAAGAAATACCAACAAAAACCTTAACAAATAGCTGCTAAGAAAATGTAGTCGAAGATAAAGATGGATGAATAGGAATGAAAAGGCTTTAAAAATAAATGTGTTTATATAAGCCATCATTGTGAAACACAAACAGATGAACAGCCAAAATGCGAATCCAAGGTGACAAATTCAATACAGAATCTTACACTCTCAAAAAAATTAAAGGATTCAGATGGGCACATAAGAACTCAAAACACAGCACAGAGTTGAGTCTGTTGATATTGGGAGCTCGGTCTACTTTGAGATATTTCAATCTTTGTCATTCTTGCTTAACATTTGATTCTTAGACAAGTTAAATAATTTGGCAAGATCAGAGATCAGAACTACAAAGGATTATACATGGCCTGTTTTTAAAACTTTTAAGTGAACAAAAATCAACACTTCCACTCATTCCAAATCTCACTAAAGATGTTACATCACAGCATTATTCCATATTTGCATTGACATGGGCAAACTAAACAGTGTATCTCTTCATAGATGAGATGGCGGGCGTCCGAGATATCCCTCCCCGCTCCCCTCTTCTCCCTTCCCCAAAGACCCCGAATTTTCAAAACCTTGCAGCAACTTTTAATATGCGGTTGTTTTGATAAATCCCCACCCACCTTACGATGGAGACTCCTAAATCCTACTTCACCTAACAGCTATAACCTGATTATATTCTTAATTACTTACATTCATGGAGCTCCCTCAATCCCAAACTTAACACTTTAAAAACTCCAATAACATCTGAATTTAAGGTTAAAAGAAACCAATCTACGCCTCAAATAAAATCATAAAAAACATGCCAGCATATAATCCCCTACACCTATTCTCCAGAATCTCATTGTTTACTCGCAGATACTATAAACAAAGCAAGAAAGGAGACAAAACAACTAAACGCCGAAAAAATAACAAACTTCACTCGAACTTACTAACAGGAAAAGACAACCGATTACGAGCATGAACAACAAAAAACACAAACTACATACACATAGAATAAGAAAAGTCAACTTAGATCTCCATGGATTACACAGATTAGGAATTCTCTGATGGTATCGCTATACAAATTACGACGTGGAAATGGAAATTAAAGAGAGAGCACGGTGTACCATTGTTGAAGTCTTCTTCTTCTTCTTCTTCTTCCTCTCAAGAGAGCCGCCACAAACCCTTGTAGGCTGTAACTGATCGGAGCTTCTAGTATATATATATAGATATGTATATGAGATGACATAGCATACGGCAGCCCTAATCGCAGAAAGGTTTGCCCGAATTTCCAATTTTAACCCTGAAATCTAAACTTTATTACGATTAACTTTTCGTTCTCTTTTATGGGCTGCGTTTTCCGCTGTTGGGCTTTTTTTTCATAAAGGAAAAATAGCCCAAGCGAAAATATTTATTTATTTTGATATTTTACTTTTGAAAATTATTTTATTATAGTTTAATTTCTATACTTTTTGTAGTAATAATTTTATTGTTTTACATAAAAATATAATTCTTTTAAGTAATCAAATATATACATATATATATATAATACATGTATTTTTAAATTTTTTTAATTTATTTAACCCATAATAAAAACATAAATTGCCAAATTAATTTACAAAACTTTACTACGACGTCTTCTATTTATTTTAAATGTAAAATCTTGTTCAATTTTTTGAAAAGTTAAAATAATTAATAAAATCATCTTAATTATTATTAGTTTTATTGTACAATTCATCATTTATTTTATTAAATATTTTTATTTAATAAAGGGTATATTTATTTTTGCATCATACCACATAACCCAAAGTTCATCTATACAATTCAAAAATCTATATACTATACTTTATTATATAAATTTATATACATCAATTAAATAAAAAGTAGTTGAAATATATTATTAATTATTGGGTTAATTATTATGGGAGAGGTGGGCCTGTCCATTTGCTTTGAGTTATGGGCTGTTGATGGGTTTACTAACTGGGTTTGGATTAGGAGAAGAACAAATTGGTCAACATTGAGTAAAGCTTTATCTTTATATATATATACATATACTTTGATGGGAAGTTATGTATATGTGTGTGTGTGTGTGTGTGTGTGTATATATGTATATATACATATGCATGTGGAGATTATATTGAGAATTAAAAATATGAATAGATGAGGAAAGGAAAGGGAAAAAAGAAGGAGGAGTACAAGTCTTATCTAAAAGTAGGAAAGTTGGAAATCCACTAAAAAATGTTGGAGTAAAGTGAGAACATAAGAATGGTAATTAAAGGCAAATATGCTATTCAAATCACCAGACATAAAACCAACATAATACATTTTCTGTTTCCCACCAATGTCTCTTCCTGGCCCTTTACATATATATATATATATATATATATATTTATCATTTACATCTTAAATTTCAGTACCCTTTTCCCATTTATATACATAAACCCAAATTTAATAATTCATTCCAATTATTTATTTTTGAATGCATATATATATATATATGTGTGTGTGTGTATACTTTGAAGCTTAAGCAGTATTAATAAATATAGTTTTTTTTTTTTTAACACAAGTAAGACTTTATAAATCTAATAGGACGAACATAAGTAGGGAAATATTCTTATATAATATCAGATATATACATTATATATATATATATGTATATATAAACTCCATATATATTAAATTCCTTTATAATCAAGAGATGAGTTATTTAAGTAGGAATTTAAAGTGAAAGAGAAGCAAATGGTTGTGATAAAAATAATAATAAAAGAATTATTCTCCAAGTTTTTCTTATTAAATTTAAATTTCAAAATGTATAGCTAATTGGTGAGGGTGACTCTGGTTTAATTCATAGCTTTGTAGACTTCAACCTGAAACAGTTGCACTCATGAAATCTATCATATCATACATATATATATATATATGTATATCCCTATATAGTTTAAGCATCATTTTCAATTCTTACAACTTATCATACCCAACTGCAAATGAAATGAAATGAAATGTATGTTTTATAATTAATATCTAAATCAATATCAATTTGATGGGAAAATTCTAGGGTTTGAGGAATGTTTTCCATAAACATAACTATGTAGAACATACATATATATATATATATGGTTTACAAGTTCTTACATGTATTATACCTATTTTGTATTTATAATTTTATATCCATATTTATTATGTAATTCATTTTTTTACCTGTACTGTATGAAATGAGATAGTAAATAATATATCTATGCGTACGTTTCTACATTTATAATATATAATTTTTGCAATTAGAATGAAAAATTTGATGTTCTATCACACATTTAGTCTTGAAAACACTTATTTACTTCACGAGAGAAGTTTGGTTCATTTACCAGTTCTTAAATTGCTTTCTTAAATTGCTATTTTGCAATGTCGAACCAAATAAGTTAAGTCGCCAGCATCGATCAATCTCTTTCAAGTGCTATTTACTCCAATTTAGACACTTATTGGTTGAACATGTGTACGTAAACAATTTATATTTAACTTAAGGTACCAACGTGTTTTCTTTCAACTCTCCCTATAAATACCAGTCTCGACCTCTAAGTAAGATAAGTAGTTTCTCATTTTTTCCTTTTTTCTTTTTATTTTTTTTATTCATCATTTCATATTTTTTCACTAACTTAAATACCAAAATCATTATTAAAAAAACTCATAACTTGCGGTTTTAATCGTGTCATGCACTATATTATCTTTGGAAAAAAAAAATTTCTTTTTGGTCTAAAATGATATCAATAAACATAATCTCACATAACTNTTGATTAATACATATTCTGATATCATTTATAACGCCTCACATCGAGACTTAATATGAACGTCTGTGGATCCAAAGTAATCTGTAAGAATAGCGATACTTAATTATATACATAACGATAATCAAATTGATGCAATTATATATAGAGTTTAAGCTTGTCGAAGATTAACTATATCTATGTGTATATTTACATAATTTCACTCTGAATGCATGTGTGTGTGTGTATATATGCATGAGTATCAAATAATGATCTTGGTTACAAAATGCCACTAACTAAGAGGTTCAGAAAAGAGAAAAAAGATTCTGATGGGAAGCAATCCAAATGGGAAACAGGCAGAGATTGGGATTGATTCATTAGAAACATTTCATAAAAAAAGGGGAAATTTTTTTTTTTAAATTTTTAAAAAGGCACAAATTAAAATGCAACTTAATTATCAGACACCTTCAAATAACAACAAGAAGCCTAAAACCAGGAATAGAAACCAACGTACACTAACTCCCAAGCTCTAAAAGAATAAACAACTAAAGTTACATAACTTACATGATCAACATATATATATATATATATATATCTAGACATATGCATACACAGCCATACCCACATGTACAATATGTATAAATATAGATATACATATGAGATCATGACAATCAAAAGTGGCTTCTCAAATCTTTGAATTAAATCAGATCTTATAATGAATATATGAAATACTCTTATTATATAAGTAAAGTTAAGATTAATTATAAATGTGTTTGTGACTAAATTAGATTTTATTTTAATAAATTACTAAAAATTTAATGAAAGTATTATTTCGTTTTATTAATGAAAATAATATTTTGGGATAATTAATTTTTATTAATTGTGGAAATATAATAGATTTATACTGTACTTAACTTTTTGTTTAATAAAAAATGAGTGAAACCAAGGTTTCCTTTCTTAAAAGAAGAAGATCACAACATGCACATCTACATATAAGATATGCATATATCATAACTATATATATATATATATATGTAATTAATCCAATCCAATATTAGTTCCCTAGCTAGGGCTTCCAAGCTGACGCCCATACTACTGGTTCCTCCTTCCATGCCAAGTAAATCCCTGAAGAAAAACAAGAAGAAGAAGAAGAAGAATTTGAAGAATCATCTCCTCCATTATCTCCTCCATTATTATTATTATTATTGACCAGTGACCATCCACCTCTATATCTCTTCAACAATGCCTTCACATCATCCACAACATCGTCACTAAACCCTGTTCCTTTAAACCCTCCTTCCTTCCCAAACCTCTCACTCCATTGTCTCCCTCTCTCCATCCTTTCTTCTTCCTCCTCTTCTTCCTCCTCGTCACCTTCACAGGCCAAAACCCTAACCAGACTCCTCGAACACTCTCGTTCAAGCATCAACCTTTCATTACTCGTCGCTGCAAAACTCTCCTCCAACATGTCGAAATACAGCGTGTAGAATCTCAAACACTCCTCGAAACACTTCATGAAATCATCTTTACTGCTTGAGAAATCAGCTTCTTCTTCTACAACAGTGACGATTTTAGGGGATAATGATTTGAAGAGCTTTATTAAACCTGTTCTTTTGTCTATTCCAACTTTTTTTAATGACCCAATACAGTTCACGGCTATGGCTTCGTCGTCTCGGACACCCAGATTCTCCTTTGTTAACTTGGTGATTACGTTGAACTCGAAGGGAACACCCATTAATCTTGCAAATTTTTCCATTCTTTGCCTTATTTCTTTCATCATTGACCTTAAAATGTTCGATGTTACCACCACGGTGAGCCTTAAATGTGGAGTCTCGTCGTTTCTTGTGGCTAAAGATTCAAGGAGAGTTGGCCATTGGGTGCAAAGTGTGTTGCTTATATCGATTATATGAAGCTTCATTTCGCCGTCTAAGGCTTCTAGGATTGCACCGTTTGAAGCTACGTGACCGAAGGTCGTCCATGGACTTACCTGTTGGAGCATGAAGAACAATTATAGGAAAATAACTCTTTTCTTTGCTTTGCTATGAAAAGTAAATCAAGAGAAACATTTAGATTATTCCCAATTACTGTAAAACACTTCTAAATGTTGGGAATAGAAGGAAGATTACAAGTTATTATTGATGCAAATTATTTAGTTGGACGGATATATTGAGATTTTTCAACAAAGAACATCAAACTTCTATTTGATCAAACCTGTATGCTAGTACACAACCATACATAACCTATATATTGGTAGTTGTAACCATCTATTAATCTTACTCTTTTTAACCGCCCATTTATGATTTTCTCTCATAATCGTCAATTTATGATTTTTCATAAAAAAATTAGTTACATTCTGACATTAAATAACTGTTAAACTCCATTAAAATACTTAATTTTACTTAGAAACTCTAGAAGACATAAAAATTCTAGCAAGTACATATCCGGACAGTCATGTTTTAGTAATTTCAAATTATTATTCTTAACATTACCTCTTGAAATTTGAGGATTAGCTTCCTGGCAGAATCAAAGCAGTGGCTTTTCTCGGCAACAGAAGTCAGAGTCTTGAAGCAGCGGTGTCCGGATTCCGTGGCCTTGCAGAAAAGAGCCTGTAAGAAATGAGAAGCCAGTTTCTGATCAGGATCTCCATAGGGTGAAGCTAGTTCGTTTAACATCCATAACAGGTGGTGGATTTTGGCGGAGTCCTTGTCGGAAATGGCTCTAGCACATTCTTTTAGAAGCTCGGATGCCCATCTCTGACCTGGTTCGGTGCAAAACTCCGATGATGACCGGCTGGTCGAGTGGCATGAACTGTTATTCATACCGATAATATTAGCAGCAGCCGCAGCAGCAGTAATAGTATTAGTGTTTTGCATGTCTTGGGTTGGAGCTAGTTGTTGATGGTGATGATGTTGGTAGGGATGATGAAGATGATGATGTTGATGATCATGGCTGCCGCCATAGCTGCTCTGGCTCTGGGTGTTAATGGAGTTTGATGATGAATAAGGGAACATGAAGGTTGAGTATTCTTTTGACTTTGGAAGAGTAGTGAGAAGAGTTCTGTCCATATGTGTTAAATTAATGAAGGAGATGAGATGAGTTGATCTGTTTGATTTTTATCTTGAGTTTCTGAAACTGGTATATTATAGATTTGAAGTCCCTTTCGTGATTTTAATAATAATAATAATAATTATTATTATTTATTAATTATAGTTTTAATTAAACAAATGTTATATAATTAGTCATATGTATATGTATATGTGGGAACTGAAACTGATCAAAAGCCAATATATGTACTGCTTTTGATTGGTCAAAAAGTCCAGTTGCTTTAGCTTTTAGAGATCATTTATAAAAGAGGGAAAACCCTAATTGCTGCAGAAACCAAAGAATGTATTTGCTTTTAAAAAAAAAATGCATGAATTTATATCATATACTGAAAAACAGTACTGTATATATATATATATATATATGTGTGTACAGTACTATTGTATTGTAAAGTTTCATTGGCCTGCAGCTGGGTTTCTTTTTAAGTTATTACTTGTTTGGTTTGAATATATATATACACACACACACACCCACATATACATATATATATATACACACAGAATGTTAAGGCATATTAATCAGATTTGACTGAATTAATTACTTTACAAGTATGGATTTAATTAGCAAAAAGATCATATTGTTTAGTAAATATTAATTTATAATTAACTCAAATTTGGATTTCAATTTTCTTGAACATGACAAAAAGAATTTTTTAAAAGTGAATTCTCTAATTTATCATTCTTTTAATAAATTTATACATTAATTATAATATAATACGAATAATTTCAACACAAAAATTCACGAATTATCATACTATTAAAATAAATACAAATTGAAATTCATAATTTTCTTACCATTTAGATTAAATCCCATTAATATTATTATTTAAACTAATTGCTTAAGATTTTTTCTCATTGCTTGATATTTATCATATACATACATACATACATACATACATATATATATGTATGTATATATATGTGTGTGTGGAAATTGCAATTGAGCTAAAAATAAATGATGAGATTTTGTCATGATCCTATAGCTCCATATAGTTAGTGGCATAAAGGGGTTTTGGAATTGGGAATAAAACATTTATTCTCAGAAATATAAAATAAAAGGAATCCTCATGTAGTTCAATAGCATGCAACTACATCATGTTAAATACAAACTAACAAACAACATATTTTCTTTTGTATAACTAGAACAAATAGATGATGATAAAGGCTAAACTGCTTGATGTGGACTATATTTTATATACATATATATATATATATATTCTAGTTTCACCTATGATTAATTAATTATATATTGCATGATATATATATATATATATATGTATATGTATCTTCTTGTACATGAGATCTATGTATGTACATACATACATATATAGTTCATACTTTCAACTTTTTTTATTTTATATTTCTATTAACCAAAATTATCATAACCAAGATATTATCTATTGGAAGATACCTTCAAATTAAGGGTAGGAATACAAATAACCAATATGTATACCAATATTTTACCATCTTAACTTTTGTGTATATATATATATATATATAATTATATACTTGTATATATATACATATTTTACCATCTCTTTAGAATATCTATAATTCATGATATCTAATTTGAAGTCACTGCAATCATTCTCAGCTTTATTAAATCCCTTGGCCTTTTGATTAATTAGTTTTTTTTTGTGCCTTTTCCTAATTTTTTTTACAATCAATTGTATCTTGATGATTATTCTAAAATTTTCAAAAAATGAATGAAATTTGATCATAACTAGAAATCTCTGTGGTATATAAAAATTAACTTATATTATGTACCCATTTTTCTGCTACTCTTACTATACATATACATGTTATTTATCGGTGTTAATTGTGCATTTTTTATGTATCGTTATTTGAAAGTTATTTACATCGTATCACAAATAATATGAGTAAATCATCTTATTAACGAATATTTATTTTACCCACTTAAAAAATATATATTTAATTAATACGATTATTATTATTATTAATCTTTAAGATAATTGAAATCTTGATTAAACTATTATGAATGCATTCTTGAAAATATTTCATTTGTGGGATTGGAGGTTGTACACCTAATTAGTCAGTGAATCTAAACTACATGGACAAAGTACAATTTTATTAAATTTAATTTAATTAATCACGTTTATATATATATATATATTTAATTAATACGATTACTTTGTAAAGGGTGGGTTTTAAAGGATACTTAACAAAATATACAAATCAAAATCTAAATGGTATCCAAATGAAGTTTATTCTTCAACAATGATTAGACAAAACGACAAGAGGTTTGTGTTACTGTTCTCCTTCTAATCATTGGAGAAATTATGTCTTTTACGCTTCCTTTTTTTTTTTTTTGGGGGGGGGGGGGAAAAAAAAACCAAGAATTAAAAAACCCAATAAACAAACAAATAAATGAAAATATAATATATAAAATGAAATAAAATAAAAGTTCATGATCTTAACACCAAGTGGTCCATTATTACTCTGCCACCTACCTTGTCTACATATGTTTCTCATACATACATAATATATATATATATATGGAGGGAATTTTTAGGGTATGAGAATGTGCATAATCTTAACAAAGGTAAAATTGAGGACTTTGACATTTCCTCTTTTATTATTATTATTATTATTATTTTTTCATATGTACAAAGTTTGTATTGCTCTACCATTAAGTATTAAACTATTCTTATATTCATTTTAATATATTTTTTATATTTGAATTACCATTATCTAACTTCAAATTCATGGAATATGAAATTTCAACCCCACTTTAAGATACAACGATTGAAGTTTCACAGCCAGAGAATTTAACATAAAGATAACAATAGTTAAAAAAAACTAATAGAAAATAAACCGAAGGGTGTTTAATGTCCAGAGTTTTATAAAGTTGTTTTGAAAAAAATGATGGTCAAGCAAAAGCAAGAGAAAAGGAGGGGAATTGAAAAAAGAAAAGAAAAGAAAAGACATAATCAAATGGTCTTCCCATTTCCAACCAAGATGACCAGAAGCCAGAAGCAGAGGGAGCCAAAAGCGGGGTAGGGGTAGGTTTGGCTTCTGCATAAAGTGCTTTTTATCTTGATGATACCAAACTGATAAAATTTCAAAAAGACAAAAAAAAAAAAAAAAAAAAAAAGAAAGAGAAAAAGTGAAGCAAGAAAAAGCACTTTGACATCTACACCATGCAATTGCGTACCTGCCTGAAAAATAAAAGGTTCTTTCTTGATCAGGAGGCTTCAAAAGTGACCTGGAAAGAGACATCCAAAGGATTGTATTTGGTGAGACATTAGTTCAATCACATTAGACCTAATTCAAATCCCATTCCCTTGTAATAATTGCATTTGCGGGTAATGGGTAATGCTCCCTTCTTCCGTAAAACAAATTAGTCACTTCGATATTTAAACTGTTACTTGAACTATTTGCACTTCATTAGTATTCGGGTGATATACTCATTTAAAGAGTAACATCAACTCAAATTTAAAATCCGACGACAAAAAATTACTCTAATAATTACACCCATCACACTTTTTGCTCGTTCTTAAAAAAGAAAAACAGATAACAATGAGCCTATGGTTATTGAGGCCTTACTCTGTTGCTAAATCATGAAAAGGAATCGGTTCTCAGCCGCTTCTTCACCTTCTAATCAATGATCCTATTTGTTACATCCACTAAAGGAATAATAGTAACGAAGCCCAGATCTAGACGCATCTTATTAAAGAAATCAAAACATATGACTCGATAATCAAGAATACCTTATCAACACAAACGATTACATAGGTTAGGACTAAGCGTTCTTTGATTTTACTTTCCTATCTTTCTACTTTCTCTTAAAATGTTGAATATTAAAAAAAAAAAAGGACATCTCTGTTATATATATTTTGCATCTTTTTATTTATGTATTCAATAGTTAGAATTCAAAGTAAGCTTTGTTTGGAGGTAAAGGTAGAAGGAATTCTTAGACGATTGATATAGGCAATTTGATTAGTTGAAGTTTAAATGTTTACTTATAAAAAGATATATAATTTTCTAATAAAACTTTAATATGAAGCAATCGAATAATTACAATCAATGACGCCATTCGACAGTCTACCTGAATATATCACCCCCTAATCCACCATTAAAAGAAAACTAGCAATAAAGACTAATTCACAGTAACGTTAAGCTCTAGAATCAAGTATTCTTTCAATTAAAAAAAAAAAAAAGGTATTATTCAATGTCTAGTCTAGTTTGACGGGTTAACAGCAAAGTCTCTTTTTTGCTCTTGTATTAAAAAAAAAAAGCATATATCTATTGCAAGAAACAAAATAATACAGTACTTAATATTATTGAAATAAGAAAAGAGCCCAAAATGCAGAAAGATAAATTACAATATTCTTGTTGTTCAACTCTATTGCAACGCAACCCCTGTATATTTCATTTTTACCTTGTAATTTTTTTTTTCCCCTAAGTGTTACATACAACTATTAGTTTTGAGAGTATACTCTAGTAATCTGTTAATTTTTCCTACGTTTAAACTTAAACTTCTATATGCTCATGTTAGCAGTTCAAAGATATAAATAGTCTCCATAGAACTAATAGTTCTATATGAAATGATAAAAGAAACCACATCACATGATACTACAATGTGACCAAAGAACCACATGAAGTGAATTATGAGAAGTCAAACAACAAGGGATGAAACTATACTTTACCCAATCTAAAAATCCACAGTTTAGTAAAAGAATGAGGCTTATGCCAGTGTTGCTATTCGCTTTAACTGGCATTTTTAGCCTTCAGCTAAGAGATTTTGGGCTATCTCTAATTACCAACAGTAAAATAATTAAGACATATCGATGCTGTAAAAAATTATTAAAATTTGTGTATTTTTAAAGAATAATATCTGTTTGTTCGTAAATATTACCCTACTGAAAACATTAGTCATGATAACATTTGAGTCCATAGTACATTACCGCTGGCTACACCATTGGCCATGATTGTCTCACAGTTCCCCCTATGCCCATGTTGTACAGGTGAAATGTAAGATCTGCGGTTTATGAGTTAAAGATCACAGTCCATGAAGTTATGGAGGTGCAGATACTGACAAATATGCAGAATGAAAGAAAGGATAGCCTCATGGCACATGATGTTTTGACGGAAGTAGTAATACAAATTTTAGGATGTAATGTTAAATTTCAGGAATAAACTGATCATTTTATACTAAAATCATGGGCAGGCTTCAATATTTCTGCCAAGTTGATCGATCCCCGTGAGAAACTCGTAAAAGATTTTAATCACCAATCTATAACAGAAAAAGTTACCTTCTTATATGCAGAGAGACTGACTGAAGATGAATAAGCAACTAATAAGCAGAACGGTAACTATATTGCCATTCATGAGAAAGCATTTACATACCAGTGACGACACGATTATATAAGCATCAGTACACAGATACACATATTTGTATATACGTACATATGTAGGGGCCTCAACTTTCATTAATGACACATGAAAAGACAAAACAGTAATTAGCATAACTGTCAAATATAAACTGTTGATGACTTGATGAGAGGTTGATTGGATTGATACCAGAGGCGCTGATTAATACGGAAAACCTAATGATTTATTTGGATATTTCATAAGGGAAAATCCTCCGAGAGTTCGTGAAGAAACTATCCAACTTTCAAGTTAGAAGCAATTTGGCACTGGCACTCATAGTAGGGCCCATTGTTAACAAGAAAATTAGGATTCTTAAAGATGACTAGTTTGGCTTCTGATGGAACTGTGCAGCACAAAATCTAATCAAGAAAGACAGAAGGAATTATCATTAAAATATTTCTTATACATTTGTGAAGTTCATCCAGCATGATGCCCTGATTTCTCATTTTTTTAGTTTCCAATTACTGTTCTGGCTAAACCCTAAAAATAATTCTCACTTCACAACTGTAGCTTAAATTTTATTCCTCAATGGATAAACTACTAATCCATGCTTGAATTCAGCAGTAATTTTGAAATAAATATTCATTCTCTATTTGACTATTGGCCTATAATATGAAAATATAATCATCTTTACATAGAAATTTGATAGTTGTCTAGAACAATTAGCAACTAGACACAGAACTACTGAGGAAAGAGCTGGCAGGAGTGGTACTGCAGTCAAAATGAAGACAGACTAAATTTTATCCGATTATTCCTGATCCAATTTCTTCACTAAACACATGAAAGGAACATTATTCCCTGAAAGCACAAGCACAACTACATACTCAGAAGATAAACAGAAAGAATCCTCACATCTTTAACGATGTTGGTGTTCATAGATCGTGAAAATAGTTTATACCAACAATAAGTGCAGAAAGCAATGATGGTACATAAAGAGCTTGGAGGGCTTTAATGTCTAATAATTAGTAGAAATAAAGAAGAGACAGTTTGTCTTTAGCTAGTGTATGTTGTTGACTTCAAGCATACTTTAGGGCACTAAAGTTTTAACATCAGTTGTCTGCAAGATAATTACGCGCACTAAATGTCATGAAGTGAATCAGTGATTTAGATAGCTCACTTAAATATGTATGCATATACGTATATGTACGTCATAATCAGCAAGAGAATCAACCTGCCAATCATAATCAGCAGCTAGAACTTTTTCACCTGAGGGGACACTTTC